ATCCCTAGCTTTTACTACCTCGGTGAGCTGACCCAAGAATTCCTGGTCAAGCTCCTCTGCTTGGGTAGGGGGTCTATAGTAGACTCCCACCAATAGGTCCCTTTCCCCTCTTCTGCCTTGAACCCGAACCCAAAGCACCTCAGAGTGCTTCTCCCCTGACTCCTTACTAATTAGCGAGGACGTGTAGTCCTCCTTGATATAGAGTGCCACTCCTCCCCAGTGTTTGGGTCCATGTAGACATCTGTGCAGCCAATATGTGTAGTGTGGGCCCAAGGTTCTGAAGTGACACTAGCGTCCAAACAGTGATGTTCAGTGGCAGACAGTGCATTGTAATACTTAAGTGGTCTCATTTGACTTTTACAGTTGCATATCTGACGGCCAAGATCCGCAGTTACCAGGAGCATCTCCAGAAACACCCCAAGGTAATCTCTCATGGTGCTTTATCTACAACAGGGGTTTTCAACCTTCTTTAACAAGTGTACCCTTTCTGGTGGCAGCAGCCAGATGTTCGGGGGGAGGACGGGGGGGCTTGCACGTGGCCACTGCCCCACCCTGTGCCACTGCTGTGCCCCACTTTCCCATGGCCGGTTGCACATATGGCTCCACAGGCTGCTGATGGGCCTTGTGCCTGGCCAGTCGCACACTATCCTTCAGCAGCCTGCAGAGCCACCAGCTGGGCGGTGCCTGTGTGGCCCTTGGAGGGGCACTGCTGCCCTTGTCTCCCCCAGCCCTGTTCCTGTGAGGCAGCGGTGCTGGGTGGTGGATGACAGCATGGGGTGGTGGGTGGCAGCAGTGGTTGCCATGTGCGAGCCCCCCCACCCCATGTCCATCCACAGATAGGCGCCACTGCCCTCGCTCGCTGCCCCTCCTGCCCCCCCGATCCATCCCTGCCTACATGTACGTACCCCTTATTGCCTTTCCAAGTTCCCCTAGGGGTACACATACCCCCAGTTGACACCCCCGATCTACAGGGTAGAGACTGGCTTGGAGGGTTTGCACCTTTACTCAGAATGAGAGTATTTGAACCGAGTTGAGGGATCGTGATTTAGCCTTAAATGTCTGGAGATCCTTCTCCCTTCCAAAGCAAGGAAATGGGTTTTGAGGGTGGGGATTAGTGCTGATACCTCTGAGCTTTCCTGTGCCATCTTGGGGGCTCTGAGTTATGGTTCAGTTTTCAAAGACTGGTATTTGTCCAGACCTATTGCTGGAGCAGGCATAGCCAGTGACCAGAAGCTTTTGAGCGAACAGTAAAACTCGGTCAGGTTCCAGGCACAGACAGGCCTCTCCTCTGCTGTTTAATGTTCCAACCTCTCTTCTAGTCTGACCCAGCAAATCAGCCTACACCATAGCTGAATTACAAACTCCTGTGCGAGCAAACTAACTATCAGACACGGGTCGCACCAATTTCCAGCTTATACTCTGTAAAACAAACAGAAATTTTCCTCTAGGGTGTTTAGAAAGGCACGGTTCAGTAGAAGCAGAGTTTCTAGCCAAGAACCCTTCCCTGTTGTCTCTACCATGTGGCCATAGCAGCCCTTGTTCACATAGGGGAACCTGAAAGGGAGCAGGAAATGAAAATGCACAAACCAAGGTGCAAACTGACCCCCTAGCAGGAAGCAGTGCCGAAACCAGTTTGAATGACAGGTAAATTAGACTTCCTTGTGACAACCTAAGGCACCTGTAACGTGTAAAAAATAAATAAATAATAGGAAAAAAAAGTGCTTGAACTATTGCTCCTACTCTGGGCTGCTGTGAAGTTTATCAGAGTGGGATTCCAATCTGACTGTAGCTAACCCAAGTCAAACCCTTCACAGGATGCACGGAATCGGCGCGTGATGCTGATGGCCATAGACCAGCGGAAGAAGATACTCAAGTACCTGCGTCACACCCGCTATGATGTCTTTGAGAACACGTGCAAACAGCTGGACATTGAGTACACGCTCCCACCACCCTATTGCAGGAAAGTGAGCAGGTTGTGGCTGGTGAAGAAGGCTTTCTGTCTCAAGGTACAAAGTAGAGGTTTGAAGGCAGCCTGCCTGGGGGGTCATGTACACCTAAAGAGGGGAAGAGCTCCTGCCTGATGGTATAGTAGTACAGATGCTATATTTAGGTTTGGAGGAGAGGCCATGGCTCTGTCCCATTACAAATCTGGCAAAGTGGAACCCAGGTGCTTGGCAAGATTCAGTCCCTTGCCTGTGGCAAAGACTAGGGTTTACGACGTATAGCTGGGTGGAGGCTCCACTGTGGAGGTGCTTCGGCCATTTGCCATGGGCTTTATTTCAGAAGGCACCCCTTCTCTGATCAGCTGCACAGGAGCGCTGACATGCATCAGTAGCTCATGAGGTGGTACCTTCTGAAGTAGATGTAATCCAGGGTAAGGGAACAGTTTGAATTTATCGGTGTTATCCACGGCTTCCTGATCTTCCCTGGAATAAGTCAAAGCAGAAAGAAAAACCAGCTTTACACAGCCATGAACTGACAAGTAAGCACTGAACCATCAACCCAGCAGAACCAGGCTGGGAGGACAGAAGCGTGAAACTGAGTGCACACATGGGTGCTCTCTGTATATAGGCATTAGAAGAGAGTATGTCAGGCTGTGTTTTTGTCACTGGGAGAAATGGTGACCATTGTAAACCTTGACGTTAGGGGAAGAAGTTTTCATTCCTGTAACCTGAAAGTGTGATGCTCCCAGTGGGTCAGCTTTGACCAGGGATATGTAACCTTGTCTCTTTCCTTCTGTCACCTGACCATGCTGCTTTTGCAGGTTTTTAAAGAGGTGCAGAAGCTGAAAGCACCAGAGAGACTAAAGAAGAGACGAGAGTGGCAAGAACAAGCAAGGGCTGCATGGGCTGCCAGGGAGCAAGCGCAGCAGAGGGATGGGACCCCAGTGTAGCCAGCACTCTGACCTGGCCTTGTGTTCTGTGTCTGTGTGTGAAGAGCGACTGTTCTCTCCAAAAACAATAAAGTATTTTAAAGCCTTTAAAGTCTTTCTAAGTGTGTGCTCTGTACTGTGTGTGAATGGCCAGAAAATTGTTCCATGATTTCACCTACTGGCTTAGCAAAACTCAAAGGATTTGACACGTTTCATAGTTCATAGGGCCGGAAGGGACCTGAGCAGATCATCAAGTCCGACCCCCTGCTAGGGCAGGAAAGAGTACTGGGGTCAAACGACCCCGGCAAGGTGTTCATCTAGCCTCCTCTTAAAAACCCCTAGGGTAGGAGTCAGCACCACTTCTCTTGGAAGCTGGTACCAGATCCTAGCTGCCTTGACCGTGAAGTAGTGCCTTCTGATATCTAACCTAAATCTACCCTCTGCCAGCTTGTGACCATTATTTCTAGTCACTCCTGATAGTGCTCCTGCTGCAGCCTGACCAGTGCCGCATAGAGGGGGAGGGTCACCTCCCTGGACCTGCTCGAGATGCATCTACGGATGCATGACAAGGTACGGTTGGCCTTCCTGACTGCGTCCCCACACTGTCGGCCCATGTTCATCTGACGGGCAGAGGAGGGTGACGTGCTTGCTTTGTCAGCATGTTAGCTCTGACCCCAAATACTGTCATGTCATCAGTACTTGCAAAATACGTTCTGGAAGAAATTTGTGAGGTCATTAGGTCAACGATACATGAATCAGCAATTCCAATCAAATGCAAAGCTACACATGTAACTTCAGTTTTAAATAATACTTTTCCTGGAAATTTGATTATTCAACATCACTTTTCAAAACTTGGCGATTCTTAGCTCTCTTCCCAAATCCTTTAATACTGATGGGCAACTAAGTCGATTGCTGATCTGTTTTACAAAAGGAAAATATCTGAATACTGACGTCAACAATAAACGCACATTAAAAAAAAAAAAATCCTGACCCAGTTCATGGGTGTGCATTGTGATGAAATATCCATTTCTGTAAAACGAACATTGGGAGTGGTGAAATGAAGTGTCCTTAATTATGAATTCCTTTCTTCTTAGGCGCTTGGGTGTTGTAACGGATGCAATGCTTCCCATGTTACTGCTGTTATGGAACACACTTGTCCACATTGCTGGCATGTGATCTTGCAAGGTGACCATTTGGGAAGTATTTTTAACCTAGCCGGTAATGATGGGCTTGGGCCTAACAGCTTTTGCAGCTCAAAGCACTGCTATTTAGAAGCATTTTGGTGTTAACAGCTGCTTTTTGTTTTTCTCTGCAGAAAGAATGTGCAAGGGCATGGTGAAACGAGGAAATCATTGGAAACTTGTAAAACAGCGATAAAGGATGGAGGGTGTCAGCAAGATGGCTGCACAGAATGCAAGGCATCAGCCAGAAGAAAGTGAGACTAAGTTTCCAGGCAGCTTGGGAAGCAGTTTCAGGCAAACCCAGAAGAATTCAGGGGCAAAACTGCAGCTCAGGGTAAGACACAGGCTCACCAGGAACCAAACAGCCACGCGCGTGCTAGAAGCATGTCCAGTCTCCATCTCCCACTAAATGCAAGAAGAGGGCATCAATCAGCAAGGCCGTAGCTGTGCACCCCGATGTCAAGGGGGACGCTGCTCGGAAATAAGCAATTAAGATTTGTTTCCACTTTCTAGACTTGAGGTTTTTGCTCCGTTGGCTTGTGACATTTCCGCACTTCTGTCACCACTGCCTTAAAATCAAGTTCCTCTTTCTAAAACCTTAAATACACGCACCCTCAGCTTTGTAGGAGACTGAGAACAAAGTGTTGAGGTGAGTGAATCTATTTTTTTTTACTTCCTTACATACCTATGTTGCCCACAACATTATTCTTTTAGAGGAATAACACCTTCAAGTGTAAATTGGATGCTTATCTTGCTGGGATCCTATGACCACAGCTGACTTTCTGCCCTTTGGGCAGAGGGCTGGACTCGATTATCTTCTGAGGTCCCTTCCAGCCCTATGTCTATGAAATCTAAGAATAATTTTATAACAGTCCTCAGCTCAATAAATATTTTGTGTATTAATTTATGGTGCACCAGCACTGTTAAAGCTGCTGCTAAAAAATTGCTTTTGATCTGCAGAAGGAAAGCTGTACCAAGGGTTAGGTGAACACATCTCTTCCCAGGATGAATAGTCTGAACAGCTTGATGACTGACACTAGAAAGAAGGCTGAAAATATTTTACTTCCTTGATTTAGTTTGTTAACAAAAAAAAATCCCAGTTCAGTAATTGGAGAAACTGTCTAGGATTATCTCCTGTAAAAGGCACTGGGGTATCTCTAGAAGACAGAAGTTTGGGTTGGTTGGTTGGTTATTTATTTATTTATTTATTTATTTGTGTTTTCAAATATTTAACTTCATTTTTAATCTTAACCAGTTACATGTAACATGCCATGTGTGTTTAATTGGTAGGTAAGTGACAGCTGCTGTACCTAGTTGACCAACCTTGCAGGTTCACTAATCCAGACTGCACAAACTCAAAGGTCGCTAACATTCTTTTCTCTGCCTTGCTCCATTTGTATACTAGAGGCTGATGTTTAAGAACAGGCTTTTAATGTGGTTTCTATTGGCAAGCATTTAAATGGTAATTATAGCATTGATTTTGATCTTATTTTGCCTGTGTACTGTTTTGTTGTTTCTGTGGGGAAAAAGAAAGGTTAACTCTCCCTGGCTGGTAACCATTAAACTCCCATACGTTTGCAACTAAAGAGAACATTTGAACCCAAATTTTGTACCTTCTGCTGTATACATTTAATTAAGCAACTATAACTTAATTTGCATTTATTCAGATTCATAGTTTTCATATTCTGATACAAGTGGTGAAGCATTTCTTGACTCTTATTTTTTCATTTGATCTTTGCCTAGCTGTATTTGGATGGCAACTGGCATTCAATTAAAATGCACAATAATAATATTCAGTTTCTGTTTTCTTTATTTAAAACATCATGAAAATGTCTGCAAATGGGGAAAAAAAGGAAATATGTGAAAACAACCTGTTTTGCCTGTAAAATTACTATGTGAATAAAGGAAACATCTGTAGTCAATTAATTGAATCAGTTACTATGCTGTGCTGAATATAAGTCAATGTTAAATATAAATTTGACCCTGCATTTTCAGGTTCAGCATTAGGATAAACTTTTCCCTCAGTGTAATTCCATAACTACAGATAAAGACCTTGAAACTGCTGTTGCGCTTACAAAATTCTGAAGGCGAATCAACCAACCAAAGGGAAAGAACCCAAAGGGTTAAATGCACCAAAATAAAAACTACATGAAATGCACTAAAATAAAAACTACACGGGGGGAAAAAAAACTGATTGGTATTTGTATTGCCTGCACAAAAATACTGCAAGGGTCAAGACATTAACTACACACCATGTAGTTACAGATTGACCCTGTAAGCCAAACGGAAATCTTCTGTTTGTTGGTGTGGGGAGTAGTTTAGACTTAAAACAGTACTGCATTTCTTGTCACCACGTACCCAAGCTCTCTCTCACACACCTACCATCTAGTCAGCGATCAGAAAATGAGCTCTCTCCTTCCTCAATTCTGTCTGGTTCTTAGCTCTGAATGAGCCAGTCATTGAGCTAGCCAAGTTGAACAAACAAACACAAGTTAGGGCAGGGTAACTCCTTGGATACTAACAGAACAAACTTCTTTTTGCACCTACAGAAGAGGCTATTCCTGTCAAAAGCTGGTTGAGTAAGTAGTCTCCTGCTGGAACAAGAGTTTATCAGTGATCTCCAGGTCAGTGGTTGGACTTAGAATTTTGGGGCAATCGGGTACTGCTTTTTCTGTTGCTGTTTTGTTTTATATTTGGCTTGAATATTTTGAACAGGTTATAGTAACTTTAGATCTGAATGTAGTTTGCATCATTTCTAACTTAATGTATCCTTTAAAAATGCTTTTTATTCACCTTGGCTAGTATGCACCAACCTTTCATCTGAAGCAGAGAATTGAGTAGCTTGGCTCTTTTACTTGCACCTTTGATTATTTTTTTCTTTGTGACCTGCTGATGCATCTTGGCTTTGTTTGCAGCAGTTGCACTCAGCAGCTAGAGCACTCTTCTGAACTATGTCCCAACCTGCAGTCACTCAACAGCCAGACACAGTCGCTTCCTCCATCATGTCCCCGACGGGCGACTGGAGCACTGGGAGATATGACTGCTGTGCAGACTGTGGCATCTGTAAGTACTGTGCTCACTGCAGATGCATTTTTTTTTCCTGAGGCAAGAGGCAGGGTCTCCCGTGTCAAGTCAGGGGCCACCAGCTGCTAAAGTTCCCCAACCCTCAGGTGGGGCTTTGCTGTGGGATACAGCAAAATGGAAAGCATCAGGATGTTCCTGAAAACTAAGGAAGCTGAACAACAGGTGAAGAGCCAGGTATACTGTGCAGAAGCGGGAATGGTGTACCTGTTCTGATGACAATAAAGTGACTACTTCCTTTTGGAAGAGCAGAGGTTCCCAAGCTATAGGTCATGGGCGCTGGTGGTGGCTGGAGGGCTGGCTAGTTGCACATCCCTACCTTTTTCTAACTGCTTTGCACTAAAACTAGTTAAAACACTCCAGTTTCTACAAAGACCTGCAATGATAATGAACAAGAGAAGAGCTGGCCCATGGGACTGCAAGTGGAAGGGGAGAGGGTATCCAGGGGATGTGAAAAACAGTCATTATGAAAGACCCTGTGATAGTGCTCCTTTTTCCTTCTTTGTGTTGGGCTTTTGAATCCGTTTCACAGCCCTGTGGAACCTCTACTTTATAAACTGGTTTGCTCCACAGCAGCAGAGCAGAGCAGTGCCTCATCTGCTGCACCCTTCTGTTCACCCTCTTGTTTTGAAGGCTGTCTGGGGCTCCTCTGCCCGACACTGCTGGCATGTTACATGTCCAAAAAATATGGAGAGAACTGCTTCCTTCCCTGCCTTTTTGGAAGCATGACAGCCCTGAGAACTCACATGCGCCTCTCTTACGGCATCCAGGTAATGCTGCAGCTGGAAAGGTTTCCCTTCTCAAGGTGTCCTGCCTGTTAGGGAAGGGAGTAACAGTCGGGGGTGGGGGAATCTGGCTCCTGGAACAGCCAGGATCTGCTTAGATTGTGAAATGCAGGGACAACTTCACACGTCTGAATGAACCGTGGATAAACTTTGCTCAGAAAAGCAGCCCTGGCTGAAAATAAGAATGAACATGTTTTTTAGACTGAGTCACAGTGCAAGTCCCTTGTTTTATACCCTAGCGTGATGAGCCAAGGCTGGACGTGCCAGAGGAAAACTACCCTGTCATGCCACTTGGTGGTTGTGTAGCACTGGTCCCCCTCCCCCCCCCCCAAAGTCCCTCCAATTATCTCGCACCCTGGTTCTTGCTTTAAAGTGATTTTTTTGCTTGCTGAATCTATCACTGTCACATAATCCAGAGCCAGGCTTGCAGGCAGGGACAGCTGTGGCCTCCAGGCCCTGCCTAACCCTGCCAGGTCACAACTCGCCTTTGGCCACAGGCAAAAAAGACACATTGTAACGTCCCGGCTGGGAAACACTCCCGGACTCAAAGCCGTGTCTGGCTCAAGCTTTGCTGAAAAGCGCCGTGTTGTGCCAAGCGGCACAGCCAGGTGCTCTATTAGGCAGGTGGGCAGGTGCCATCGATGTGAGACAGGTGGCAGGCGCCGGGCTGCACGCTCCCCAATTCCCTGCCTGCGTTTGCGACACCGCCCAGTTGGCCAAGGCCACTGCGGTGTAACCACAGAAATAACCGATTCCCAGCGCAGGCGGTGGTGGTCGCTCTGTCAACACGGCCGTTTTCGTTGCGCCAGAAACCGTTACATTACAAAACGCAGCGCTAGGCGGGGGCGGCAGGCCTGGGCACGCGGAGCCCCTGCCTGGCTAGCCAAGGGCACGGGGCGGGGGACGCGCGTCAGTCCGGGCTAGCGGCCGCCCCGCCCCCCACCCACAGCCGTGCTCTGTCCGCAGGGCACCTTGTGCCGCGACGCCCTGGCCATGTGCTTCTGCGGCCCGTGCGAGCTCTGCCGCATGGCCCGCGAGATGGACCACCGCGGGCAGTTCTGAGGTATCGCACAACAGCCGGCCTGCGCGGGGCGGGGTGGAGGCTCGGGTTCTTGCTGCGCATGCGCAGTGGAGCTGGGGCACGGTCCTGCGCATGCGCATACGCTCTCCCCAGTTCTAATTCCTGCCGCGCTTCTCTTACAGGCCCGGCCCAAGCTGCGCAGACGCCGGACTAGAAAGGAGGAGGGGGGTGCTCACCAGAGCGGCGCATGCGCAATAAAACTGTTACCTAGACGACACCCTGTGCCGCGCTGTCCTAGCGCCAGGGAGGGTGGGGGGCGGTGCCTGGACGAGGCCTGACCGGCCAACAAGCTGCCCCCTGATTGGCTTGCTGCCCCGGTGTCCTGGCAACGCCCGCCGCCGGGTAGAGCGGCACAGACATGTCGGCGCGGACGCTGCCGCTGCTGTTCCTCAACTTGGGCGGGGAGATGCTGTACATCCTGGACCAGCGCCTGCGCGCCCAGAGCATCCCGGGCGAGAAGGCGCGCAAAGGTGGGAGCGGTCCCGCGTCCTGAGCTCAGAGCCGGCCGCGCAGGAGCCCTGGAGCGAGCACGGGCCCGCCCGGCAGCAGCACCCGCCCCGGGCCGGGCTCCGCGCGTAGCCCCCAGTGGGACGGACGCGATCCCAGCCTCGCTCCCGGCCCGGCTCGACTCTTGTGTTCTGTTTGCCCCTCGAGGGCGTGTCACCGGCTGGCCCCGCTCGGTGTTGCCCTGCGCCGGCCCTCATGTCGCCCGCGGGCTGGCCCAGCTGCCCCGTCTGGTCTAGTCTTTATAGAGCCTCGAGCGCAGCGCTCAAAACAGCCCCTCGAGTAGACTCGGGCAAGCGAGGGCAGAGGAAATCACCAAGTCGAAGTCAAAGTGGCGCTTCAGGTCGCTGTGCCCAGACCCCATAACGCAGGAGATGGTGGCGCTCCAGCCGTGTCTCCTGCATATGTTTCTTAACTGGTTGCAAAACAAAAGCAGCGCGTCTGACTAGCGCTATCATTGAGGGGTAAATGCAAGCACCTGGGGAGCGAGCCCTGGCCGGGACGTTGCGGACGAATGCTGCGCGGGTGTTAGGCAGGGCTGTGATACGTGAAGTCTTGGGGGCCGGCGACCTGGGCCGTGCCACCGCGGGCTGTGCTGTGCTGTGCTGTGCTGTGCTGTGCTGTGCTGTGCTGTGCTGTGCAGCAGCCGTGGAAGGGGCTCTAGACCTGTGCTGGGCTCTGCAAACACAAGAGACATCTGTGCCCTTCCTCACCCTGACAGAGAGAAAAGAATTAAAAAGGAAGATGGGGAGTCCCTGCAGACCAAAAAGCAAGTGCTGTGAGTCTCTCCTAGGCATAAGCTTTAATGAGTGTCCTGCTCACCCTGATGCCGTGTGCTAGAATGGAGAAGTGCTCCAGTATGGAGCAACTTCAGCCTGACTCATCTGTGGTAGTGTCCTGGGGTCAGTAATTGTTCTGGGATTGCATTTCAGTCATTCTGGAGATACAAAAATACTCGTGCTTCATTAATAAAATAGTCCTGTGCCGTCACTCCTGTTGATGATATTTTGCCCTAGATTATATTTATTTAGAGGATTTATGAATGTACTTCCTGTGCTGTACTGGCCTGGTATTGCAAAGACGATCTAGTCTTGACCATCCTAGGTGATCTGGGCATTGTGCTGTCTGTCATCATTAGGCACACAACAGCTCCCTGGCTGGTAACGACTGCACCAAGTGGTGTCTCGATTATCTCTACATTTCCAGGCAAATTATCATTTCCTTTCTGTGCTAGAGGTTGCTGCGTGTACTGTGATCAAGCGCTGGTGTTGGTGGAGGTCTCTTGTAGGGAGGAAGAAAAAGTGAACACTAGGCTTGTTGGTTTTGTTGAGTACCATAGAAACTGGAATAAACTTTAGCGTGTCTGTGCCTGTGTTTCAGTGTTTAGTGTCTCAGGGAGCCCTTTGTGGGACCAAATACTTCAAGATTTGGCCTTCTCAAAAATTTTTGTCATCCACGTTCTGAAACGTTACAGGGAAACTACTTTTTTTTTTTTTGGATACAGGGTTTCCCGAAGCTTGAAATAAACCCTGTGACCAAGTGTGTGTCAGGGTGAGGAAAGGGAAATTAAACATTTGAATTATCTATACACAACTATTGGAACCTGTGTCCGTCCTTATTAAACTTTTGGAGGGCCTTTTACTTCTGGAACTAAATCATTATTACATGCACATTTTTTCTTCCTTTCAGTTTCTCACCGAAGGCACGAGTGTTGGCTTTAAATTACATCCATCAAGCAGTTCTGTCTAACTTATTAAACTAAACTTAAAAGCATCTCCTGCTTCCCATCATGATTGTATTATGAGAGAGGAATCCCAAAAGTTTGCCTATCTCTGATTAGTGAGAAATCAGCATGCTCAGTTTACATATTTTGCTTCAGCACTGGAGAAGGTCTGCAGTTATTTGCACTATCCATCAAACGTAGTGTGAACCAACAGCACGTTGAGCCCTGAGAAACTGACAGCCCCAAAAATGACCCTTTTAAGCTTTGAGAAGGATGGGAGCCGGTTCGTTGTAAACTACTAATCCCCCAGCTCTGTAAAGCTGCTCTGTACTTGCCCAGTACTATCAATGCTGTGATCTTAGCAGTCCTAGAAGTGACCAGCCCCCTCCTCTTCAAGGGTTTTTATAGTCACTGTTGGGGCTGCTGTCACCCTAGAAGCCTTGTAAATTAGGGGTGATCGTGCCCTGAAAGTAAGTGGCTCCTGTCATTTCAAGGCCCAACAGCCTAACAGCAGCCTGTTGACAGTGTGTTCCAGAAATAGCTTGTCCATCTCTGCAGCAGGTCGTCTTTAAGGTGCCACTTTGCCCTGCCTTCTGCCTGACTTCAGACTAACACAGCTAACTACCCCCTCCCCCTGCCTGTCTTCACTCTTTGCACTCTGTTAAACTACTAACGAGTAGTTAGTTACACATTAGATAGTGGATTGAAAGATGCTAGCTACTTAGTTGTTTATACAGTAATAAACGTGCACAAATCCAGTTTGTCACAGTATAAGCCATGGGTAATACACTGGAGCTGGTACCTATCCCAATGATGCCCTCATCCAGCATTCAGAAGAGCAGCGTACATTGTATTTACACACTTGGGGAAAGGTGTCCATAATAACTTTCTTTCTGTTTTCCTTACTGTCCTTCCAAGCTGAAAAAACTGTCAAACAGTCCAGGTGACATGTTGCCAAAAAGTAATTATTAATTGTCCATGTTATGTTTTCAAAGTAATAACCAGGTACATCTTATTTGTCCACATGCTGTTTGGATAGCTGAAAATATAAACCTTAAACGTAACAGGTACAAGACACAGGTGTGAATTACTGGCCCAGTAAATGTTCTGACATAACTCAGCATGCTAACAGGACCTGCTCTTGCTTTTATCTTGTGAGAATCAGACATTTTTCTTCACTGAGCTGTGGTTACAGGGTTACATCTGTGTTGGGTATCATTATTCTGATCTATGTCAATAATGTTCACTTGCAAGTAAACAATAAATAGTCAGAAACCTCACCCCTTTACCTTCCCCACTGGGTGTAGAAAGTGCTGAGCAACCGTTTGGCATAAAATCCTGGCCCCACTCAAGCCAACAGGGTTTTTACCACAGACCTCAGTGGGGCTAAGATTTCACTCTTGGTTTTTCACTGCAAGCAAAAGGCATCAAATGGCCAGCTTTTTCTTGTTAAGCATTGAATGCTGACTTGAAAAACAAAGATAGCTAATAAAATATTTTCCAGTTCCTTTCTAGATTTGTCTTTCAAGTATTGTTCTTTCTTCTTGAACTGCTGTTTTTATTTTATATGCTTCGTGTAGATGCATGGACAGAGGTGGACAGGAAACGAGGTACTGTAACCTTTTAGTTGCATGCAGTAGATGAACGCAACCACATGCACATACATGAGGCTCGTTGCACATACGCACTCCAAACCTGGCTGCTCCAGTGCCAGAGTGATAGTGTTAGAGAGACCAACAGGATTCTTCAATCAAGATCTGGTTTTTAAAAACAGGCATTACAACTTTAGATCTAAATGAAAATGTAGGCTCTTGGTGGGGGGTGGGGAACATTTGCAAATCATGTCCTTAAGACTAGTTTCTCTGAAAATTCATTTAAATCAGGAAATGAATATAAATATTTTAACCAGAGTGACCTCCTAGCCAAATATGAATGTTTTTAGTTAACTTTATACAAAAGTAAGCATATAATTGTGTGAGTGCTGTGAGCAGTGTTGTCATGTAAAATACAGGCAGTTATCATGTATGCTGCAAAACTGTATTGCTGTAAGATTATTCCTTACTTGCTAATCCCCTGCCTATCCTGCATTTTAGTCACCACTTCCCTGGGCTCAGCACTGCTTGAGCAGCTTCCCTTTGATAATTATGATACCTGTGTTCCAGCGTAAGGCCTTCAGAGTTCTCCGTACATTTATTTAAGGTGGCATTTAAATGCTGAATTGATACCACTATGTACATAACCTGGAGTTTGCTACTGTTCTTTTCTGTGGCTCCATCACATTCTGTCCAGTGACATGCTTTTCCAGAATTTAAGGTGCACTAGCAGAACAAAAGGCTCTGTAGGACTTGCATTCAAAGCTGAGGTGAGAAGAAAAAAGCATTCTTTTTTTTCATACACATGGTCAAAGCACAAATGAGTTTCACACTGATCAGTCAAAAAAAAAGCTTTAATACTTCAGCTTCTGACATCAGAATGATATAGAGAAAGTACTATGTCCTTCAGTGGATGCTCCTCTTAAAGAGAATGGCCCTTTGAAGTCCCAGTTCAGAATCACAAGATTTTGTTGGTGCTAAGACAAGACCATGATAAAGGTGGGTGTAACTTAAATCAACTAGTCCCATAATGTCAGGAATTATCTTACACAATGGAGAGAGAAGGGACTGGCTTCAGGCAGGTGAACTGAAATGACTGGTGTCTGAAACAATAATTAGTGATTTTAAGTTGAGAGATTTTGGTATGAATGTGCATGATGGCATCATTTTGGTATGAATGTGCATCTGGCATCAACTGTCAGCAAGTCCACCCGACCATAGCAGGCTATTGGGCTGGTTTGATGAAGGCAGGCCACTTTGCACAGCTCACAGTGCACAAGGGAGTGAGGAAGCTGGCATCCATCTGGCCACTTCGGACTTCCCTGCCTAAATCTGCTGCTATCCAGTGACAGGTGTGCTGCCTGGGCACAGCCTTCTGCATAAGACTACAGTGGGATTTGGCAGACTCCAGTCTGCCAGCACACCCAGCAGTTAGTTACTGCATCAGCGTGGTGTTTTGTCTCTCAATTAAAATTCAATGCAGGTTGGATGAGTAAATTACTGTGGGCTTGTATTACTCCCTTGGCTGATTTTAATGTAAATTTCACAAGTATGAGCATTGTCCAGACATCCATTTATCAGCTTCGTGTCATGCATGTTATTCATGTTGTGTTAAACGGCACTAGAAACTAAGATGCAAGTCACAAATGCCGTGACACATGTATGGAGAAAACTGCTGCTGTCTTTTTCACTGCATTCTCCCCTACATGTCAGCATCTCCTGTCTGTACCCAGCCCCCTGCCCTTGTCCCACTGGCTGAGATCCTCCTGCCTACATTGCTTTTACGCTGCATTGTCTGGAGTGCTCCCATCCCTGCTCTGCTCCTTGTTCAAGGGTTATTGTCCTAAAGTAGGCTGGCTGGCATCTTCCCCTTGTAGCCTCTCCTTCATCCACCCCTTAGAATCTCTTTGCTTGACCCAAAGCTCTTGTCCTTAGATCCTGTAAAGAGCTAACAAACATTTGCTACCAGCTGGGTGCCCTTAAGGTGGACTTTTCTGAAGAAGACCAAAGTTGGCTCTGCCACTCACCTTGACTCTCTGTTTCTTTCACAGCTCTGGTTTAGATTTCATAGATTTCATAGACATTAGGGCTCAAAGGGACCTTGGAAGATCATCAAGTCCAGCCCCCCACCCCAGGGGCAGGAAGTCAACAGGGATCATAGGATACCAGCAAGATAAACATCCAGGTGTCTTTTGAAGGCATTCAAAAGCCAATGAATAATTTTGATTGCATCAATTAACGTGCATAGAGTATAACTGGTGTGTGGTGAACACAAATCTTCCCATTCAGTTGTAAAATACATGGTCTTGGCTTTGACCACTGTGGCAGCTTTCAATAGGATTGGCCTGCTACCTGTTTGAATGGCAGTGATTTACCTAAGCCAATGGTAACAGGTGAAGGAGAAGCCTTTAGAAAGTTGCAACATGTGCCAACAGCTTTAAAATATTTTTGTGGGTATCGCCCTAAGAACAGAAATTCTTTACTTTCTCCTATATAGCTGACTAACTGCAAAACCAAATGATGCTTATTCACACTGTGTTTGATTACTCTCCACTCCTACTGATGTGTGGCTGTTGTATATGGGTTCATTGCATTTCAGGGAAGTGAGGTTTTTTGGCTGGAATTAGCAACAAGTCAGTTATTTGCCAACAGTATTTTCTAAAGGTCGGAGTTGATTTGGGCTTGTTTGGGTCTCTGCTGCTCAAAAGCTGGGGATGGATGGCACCTTATTAGGCAGGTCTAGATGCCCGCCAGGGGATATGCTGTTCTGCAGCGTTGTGAACGTTCCCTCCCAGCAAGCCCAGAGAGAATTGCATCAGTAATGGAAAGCAGTACAGTAACTACAATTACCTGCCCCAGCTTCTGGGCACCCAGAAGCCGCCACCTCTGGGTATCTAACAAAGCATCTGGCAGAAAGTGAAAATAATTATTTCAGTAATTTCTCTTTTGGACATCTGTACATCAGCCCACTTGCCACCCTCACCATAGTCAAAGCCCATTCCCCGCCCCCCGGTAGAACTGGATAATGTGTCCTACAGCCAAAGATACCACTAAGGGGATATCAGTTCTTTCTTTATTCCTGCCCCTGAGGTAGGTGTAACCCTTTAGAATTAGCTCATGTTGTGACCTTTGGCAGCAGTCACCTGCTTAGAAAAACCTTAGCCTGTGTTCAATAATCTTTGGATTGCTGTATTAGTTTTCATTCAGCATTCCCTTAGAAGGGAGTGAGCATGTGTGTATGATGCAGAGTTTAAGGCCAAATTAAATTAATTCCTAAATATATAAGCAGTATGGTAAGATTGTGCAATTCTTAGCTTTCTTTCCACAGAGGCAATGTAGCCTAATGGCAACAGCACACTTGGTAGTCAGTCATAGGTTCTTTTCTTGGCTTTGCATCTCTGTAAGTCACCCAGCAGTCCTGTGTCTTAATTTACATGCATGTTACCCACCTTGTAGGACTGTTGTGAGACTTTCTAACACATTTATGAGGTGTGTTAAGAACCTCAGGCAAAAACCAATGCATTGCCTTCAAGGGGTCCCAATGTTTTAAATGCTTTCATGATGCAACATAAGATCATCAGAAAAAGAACTTTGAATCATGCAGTAGACCTCTGTTTAGAAGAGGAAAATGGGTGGATTGCAACAGGTGTTGAAGGGGGCAAAAGCAGCTGGCTACAGTTTGTTTCAAGTTTATAATGTGAAAAGCTAATTGCAAACACAGTTTCCCTCTTAAATAAAATTATAGCAATGCTGACATTGTAGGAACAAAAGATGAAGCTTCTAATGTATAATAAGGAAAGTTAAAATCTTAGCTATGCCTTAAAAAAAAATGCACCAAAAAGAGCTTTGTTTCCATCAGGAAGAAAAAAAAAGTTTGTTGCCAGTGTCTCAAACAAAGGTCTTCCACTTACTGGAATTTTCACCACTGCTGTTATTGGAGCAAAACCTGGCACAATGTATTGGAATTGGAGAACTGTTACCCCTTCATTTTTGTTCTTGTGATTATGCGTTGTTCTCATAGGTGACCTTCACAAGAATCGTTTTACAACGGTGAATGTCCATATCCTTCATGTGGAGTGAAATACAGCAGATAAACGAACTAGATTTCTTTTGTCTTTACAGTTATGAATGACATCATCACAACCATGTTCAATAAAAAGTTTATGGAAGAGCTCTTTAAACCACAGGAACTCTATTCTAAGAAGGCTCTGAGAACAGTATATGACCGGCTGGCTCATGCTTCAATCATGAGGCTGAACCAGGCGAGCATGGACAAGGTAAGAGGATGTCTTCCCTGTGTTCATGATACTAAAGTTAGAAGTCATTTTTTACTTTCTTCAGTGCTACTGCTTATTGGCAATTGAGAACAGCAGAATGTGGTTTTGCCGTACGCTAATTTATCGAGCATTTGCCAGACAAATCCTTTTAGATTTGAAATACGACATTTCAAGTGTTTCCTTTCTGAAAAAGATACAGGAAAATCAGTAATAGCACCAGACATATCAAGGTAACTCAAATCCACATGCAAATGATTATGGTTATAAATAAGGAAAGGGAAGTGAAGTGTCTTATGAGCATTTTACCATATGGATATAAGCATGAAACATTGTTTTCTTGTGCATCAATGCCCTAAGGAGTAAAAACTGTAGTTCTTATTGTATAGCTGCTGTAATGAGTTTACCAGGTCTCTTTCCAGGTTAAAATTGGCACAACAGTAGAACTGAACCAAGTGGTCTTGACTCTGGCTTTGTGATCTAACCAGAATTCACTTGCATCATTTTACAGCTGTATGATCTTATGACTATGGCTTTCAAATATCAAGTTCTACTCTGTCCTCGCCCCAAAGACATATTACTTGTCACTTTCAATCATCTGGATGCAATCAAGGATTTTATACAGGACTCCCCTACCATTCTGAACCAAGTGGATGAAACATTTCGACAGTTGATTGATGTAAGAGCCTGATTCTTGGATGAGCGTGGTACCTGCCACTGTTAAATCTATCTTCCCATCTTTCTTTCTCCAGCTAATTTTAGGGATGCTAAATACTTTGAGTAATGTGTGGAACTTACCTTTCAATTTTAGGGAACCACTCATTTTGCTGCTTTTCTGAAATTCAGGGAAATAAATATATTTTAATTATATAACCTGTAACTCTTGGAGCCAAGACCAGGACTATCCCAATGAAAGGAGCTTTTCATGCTAAAATATATTTCTTTGCAAGGGCATTCAATAATCAATATCTTGTAACAATAAATAAAGGCCCTGGAAGGTTGTGAATATTGTCAAAATACTTTTGGACACCTAGACGTTTAGAATTTCAGCATTCTTTTCCTGCTGACTCTTTTAAAACTATTTAGGCAAATCAAAGTTGTCATAGTCTGTCTCTCCATTGACTGCAGTTCAATTTGGATGAAGCCCTTATCCTTTAATAGCTACCTACTAGCAATGTCTTTATGCG